TGTAGTCTTCGCGCTCGCGAGGGGGGAGCGCGCGGATACGGGCTTCCTCTGCTTTTTGGCGTTTGTCTGCGAGTTCACGACAGAAGGCGAGACGCCAGGATTGGAAGGCGGAGGGTGTTAGGGGGGTACCGCGGGTTCGGGCTGCTTCGGCCTTTTTTTTTTCCCCCATCGTCAGCTTTATACGTTTATACTTTATAGGTGAAAAGGGCATACCTCTTCGTATTCCCGCGTTTTACGGTCGTCTTCTTCTTTCTCCCATTTGATACGCTCGTCGATGACGACGACGAGGGCTTCGCGGGCGGCGGAGGCGAGGGTGAAGCTCATGGCCATGCCTATCGACTCTTCCGCCTTGAATTAACGCGTTAGCTTTTTTTGGATAGATCCCCCTTTGTGTAGAGACAGAGAAAGATACTTGCAATGGTGGTGAGCTCTGCGAGCACTTTGGCGCGTTCGGATTCTGTGAATTCGCCTTCTGCTTCAGAGATGGATTCGAGCGCGATTTCGGGGATGGCATCGGGGTATGTTGGGGGGTATGTCAAGACCAAGTTGAGGGTTACTATGCTTAGAGTCAATAATGATGTTCAAGTATAGTGGGGAGGGGAGGGAAAGCTTACGGGGGTGGGCAGAGTTGGGTTCTTCGGGCTCGATACGGATTGAGAGGGAGGTATCGCTCGTCCCTTTACACATATGTCAGTTTGTTGTCTAGTTAATCGAGGGTTATTGCTATGGCTTGACGTACTCTCAGTCTCATCGGGAAAGATAGAGTCGAGAACCTATACACTTTGTGAGTTACAGTTTGAGGTCAGAAGGGAGGGATGGGTACCTCGAACTCTTCGTCTAGGATCGCTCTGTAGTCTGCCATGGGTTAGCGAAGGGGATACAGAGTGAGTTTGAAGTCTTACCAGCCATGTTGTATTATTTGTTGTATTATTTGTCTGGTACTCGAGAAATGGATGACTTTGTGATTTGAGCAATTCACAGCGCGGACACAATATATGTCCGTGTCCCATGACCATGTCCGCTCTAGCATTCCAAACTCACCTTCTCATCCTCTCATGTATCCCCATTACCATGTCCGACCCCTCCAAGACACCCCCCGAACCATGCCCCCTCTGCCCACCCTCCGGCCCTCCCCAACCCCCGCCCCCAGCCGCCGACGACCCCTCCGCCTCGCCCTCGGCAGAAGTCGACCTCGTCTGGATCGCGTGCAACAAGTGTGATGGGTGGTATCATTCTGCGTGTTTGTTTTTGAGTGGGGAGGAGTGGAGGGGGACTGTGCCAAGCCGGGTGAAGGAGGAGGTGGGGGTGTTTGGGGAGAGGGGGCCGTGGGCGAATTGGGTGGATTGGATTGGAAAGTGGTGAGTCGCCTCTTGTCCTTTGCCGGGGGATGGGGGCCAGGCTGAGAGAGTGCAGGTATTGTGCACCGTGTATATCAAAGTCTACCGACCCTTCCAACCCCCGCCCAGCTCGGAACGCTCTACACGCCACGTTGAAACGGAGTGGTATCCAGCCGAAAGATGTCGAACTCGCTTCCCGGCCCCTCAAGCGCGAGGCTGCTTTCCATGACACCAAACCGCTCACCAAAAAAGCCCGGACCAGCACGAGCACGAGCGTGGGTGGGAAGGCGGAATCAATCTCGACGAGGGCGACGAGGACGCCAGAGACGGTTATCAGCGGGGTACATGGAGGCAGCGAAGTAAACGGCGCGGGTGAGGCCGTCGGGCAAGGACGGCCAAAGAGAAAAGCAGCACAAGTGACGGATTACAACAACTTGCACAACTCTATCGCTACGCCCACAGCCAAGTGGTTGCAGATCATCGCCAACCCTGAAGAGTATGGCCGGACTATCCTGGATGGTAAGCTTCTGCTTTTGCTTCTGTTTCACTTCGTTCAGAGAGAGAGAGGGCTGATGGGGGTGATACGTAGCGGATTATCCAACACTGCCAGGCCATCTATTAACAAAAGAATGGCTCGAATCCCTCCCACCTCCAACCCCCAAAAACCCAACCCCCCAAGCCCCACCCAATATCCCCTCTCCCAGTATATTCCACGGCCCCGACAGAACACCCCTCATCATCCGTCCCTCCGACGGCGGCTTCTCCTCCCTCGGCGGTCATTTGCCTTCCTCCATCACTGTTAGAGATATTGCCCGGCTCGTCGGGCCGAAAAAGCAGGTGGATGTGATTGATGTGGCGTCGCAGCAGTCTGCTTCTTGGCCGCTCGAAGCTTGGGCAGAGTACCTTGCCCCGCCAGAGACGGAGGAGGGGGTGAGAGAGAGGGAGAAGGAGAGGCGGAAAGTGTATAATATAATATCGCTGGAGATTAGTGATACGGAGCTTGCGAAGCTTGTGAAGCCGCCCAGGATTGTTAGGGAGATTGATTGGGTGGACAACTTTTGGGACTTTGGCCTGGGGAAGAAGGCAAAAGGGAAAGGCAAGGCAAATGCGCAGGCGCAGGAGGTCAAGGTGGAGGATGGGGATGGGATGGGGAGGGAGGAGGAGGATGATATTGCTAATGCCAAACGAAACTCCACTGTGGACTATCCGAAAGTCCAGCTTTACTGCCTTGTACGTCCCCTTCTCCCTCCACTTTTCCATCTTCCCCTCTTCCCCTCTTCCCGCTTCCCCGCTTCCCTCTCCCCTCTTTCTATTTCCCCTCCTTCCCTCCTCATGGTATAGGTACTGATGGGTCGTGTAGATGGGCATGAAAGGCGCCTGGACAGATTGGCACATCGACTTTGCTGCCTCCTCCGTCTATTATACGATCCATTCAGGAGCCAAAGTATTCTTCTTTATCAAGCCGACTGAAGCCAACCTGAAGGCTTATGCTAAATGTATGTCCCCCTCTACCCTTACCCTTTCCTTCCCCTTCCTTCCAACTCGACCCAACAAACTTTGGACTTGAGGGATGGAAAATAAGGGATGAGAGGATAAGAGGATAGAAAGGCTGACACTATGAACGCGCAGGGTCGGGAAGTTATGAAGAACAGTCGAATACCTGGTTGGGCGATTGGGTGGATCATGTTTATCGGGTAGAATTGCGGGCTGGGGATACTATGTACGTCCTCCTTCTTCTTCTCTTCCTCTTCTCTTTTCCCTTTTTCTTCTCTTCTTCTTCCCTCCTCGTCACATCTGCATTTCCGTATTTCTTGATGTGTTTGTGTTTGTGCAAGTGTACGGTGCTGACAAGGATGGGGTGTAGGATAATACCGACAGGCTATATACATGCGGTGTATACGCCAGTGGATACGATCGTGTTTGGAGGCAACTTTTTGCATTCATACAACCTTGATACACGTACGTCCTTCCTCTCCCACTGTCCTACTCCGCTCCCCACTTCTCCTCGTCTTCCACCCTTCCATTCTTGGCTTTTGGCTTGGTGAAACACCCATGGAGGAAAGAGTGCTGATGGGTGGAAATAGAGCTGCGTTTGAGACAAATTGAGATTGATACGAAAGTACCGCAGAGGTTCAGGTTTCCGAATTTTGATCGGTCAGTTCTCTTTGCTCTTTGATCTCGCTATAGGGCTTTAAGGCGTTAGGCCCAGGGTAGACAGAGAAAGAGAGGGAGAAAAAGAAAGAGAAAGAGGCTGATGGACTGCAGGTTATGCTGGTATGTCGCTATAAAATACCTCACCCTCTTTCGCTCCCTCCACCCCCTCCGCCCACCCACTTCTTCTTCCTCCTCTTCCTCCCTCTCAACACCCCCGCCAAAAGTCCCACACCACACCATCCTCCAAAACCTTCTCCACCTCACCTCCTTCCTCAACCTGCAGATCAAGAAGCTTAGAGATGATGGACCAGGGGGGGTTACGGAGAAGACGCGGAAGGCTATCTGGGAAAGAATACCGCCCGAGTTGAGGATGGGTGGGGAGGCGGGGATGGCGGAGGGGTTGGTGAGGGAGTTGGGGTGGAGAGTGACTGATGAACTGGACGCTCTTGGACTTGGGTCTGCGGGTTCTGCGCCGCAGATCATTGGGAGTGTGGCTCCGCAAGTTGAAATCAAAGACGATAAAAGCAAAAAGAAGGAAAAGGAGAAGGAGAAAAAGTCGAATAGGGTAGCCAAGGTGTTTGATCGTGATCCCGCTTCGCGGACATGGCATTTCGACCCACCGTACGTCCCCGCCCCCGCAATTTTCACCCAAGCATTCGCACGAGCGTTGGCAGCAGAGTTGAGGTAGAAAGGTCGAGTTGGCTGCAGGACTGGTGGTGATGTCGAGCGCAGGATATTCGGCCCGCCCCGCGCCGCCCCTGTCCCGCAGCCAACTTGATCGTTCTACCCAAACCCTGCTGCCAAAGCTCGTGTGAATGCTCCGCAACGACGAGTTCATCACTGACCGTAGATCTTCATAGGCCATGGCAAGAATCGATTTCTATCCCACATACCGAGACCCGCCTCGTCCCCCTTCCCCTTCCCCTCCCCACTCCCCTGCCCATTCCCAGCTCCGCCAACGGCAACGCAGCAAAAGCATACTACGATCCAACACCGTACCTGGCAGAACAGACGTCCTCGGCAGTAGCGCAGAGCCGGGTGAGGGTGAGGCAGATGGAAGGAGGGGTTGTGGTGGAGGAGAAGCAGACGACGGAGTTTAGGGAGTGGAAGACTGTTTGGGGGCGGGGTGGGGCTAGTGGGATGGGAAATGGGGGAGGGATGGGAAGTGGAGCTGGGAGTGGGAGTGGGATGACAGGTCCACAGGGAGTATGGGGGTGGGGCGGTCATTGGGCTGGTGGACATGCTGGACATGCTGGGCATCCGGGGCATCCGGGGCATCTTGGGAGATAGTGAACTGTACTTGACCGGTGCTTGTATTGTAGTTCTTGAGACAGTGTTGGTATGAATACAAGGCGTTGACTCGTCTGTGGACTCTTGTAGGGATGCACTATATGACTCATGACAAACTAGTACATGTAAAGTCCACGGATTAATTTCGTCCTTTTCATATACGCTCCTCGTGTTCATGAGCGTTTTGGCGTAGTCGTAAATGCAGAGAACAAATGTGGGCTACAACTTGGCCTTGGCAGCGGGTACCGGCTTCCACATCTTTGTATGCGTCGCAATAGCAACCACCCTCCCAGTCTTCATATCCCGGATCTACACCCCCACCCATCTATCACCTTCTTTCCATATTCACATCAAGCGGAAAAAACTCACCTCGCATCGCAAACTCGCCACGCTTTTAGAACACTTGACGATATCAACAGTGACCACGAATTTGCTGCCAAGCTTGGCTGGGGAGAGGTATTCGGTGTGGATGGAGAGGGAGACGCCGCCGATCATGGGGGGACCCCAGAAGGTTGGGGTGTGCAGGTATATCATCGCTGCTGAGGAAAGGCTTGGAGAGGTTGTCAGAGGGGTTTTGGGGGAAAGATGAGGGGGGCGTACGTGTCGATTAGCCATACGACTGCTGCACCATGTATGCTTCCAATCAAGTTTGTCATCTCTGACCCCAGCATCAGCCCTTATCCTCATCTCGTTCCAAGGGCCGTCTTCACACAAGAGTGCCAAGAACTCACCATCAGTCACCACCCCCTCATAGCTCATACTCCATCCGTCGACCTTCCTGATACCCTTCTCATCTTGCTCTGGGATGTCGTCCATCTCGACGATACGGATGGCAGGGGCAAGGGAGGGGGCAAAGCCGCAGTGGGTGGATATGCGTTGGAAGGTTTGTTGTTGTTCTTCCGTGGGGGCTGGCATCTTGAGAGGTAGCTGACAAGAGAGACTTGGGGCAGTTGGTGGAGATCCTTGCAGAGAAGAGGGGTGGAGAGATATAAATCAGAAAGACAAAGATGAGACGAGATAGTTAAGGGTGGACACTTCCCGCGGCCCATAGCCGAGAAGCGGCGGGGCCCTCTTCGTCCGAGCTGGCTCTAGTTGAGCGAGCCTACAGTTCAATATGTGTCATGCATAGACAGCAAGGATCCATTTTGAGAAGAGATAGCTGAACAGTCTGTAAGGAGCTCGGTAGAGTGTAGACTATTTTGCAGCCGAAATGTCAAAAAGTATCTTTAATGAAGAGGCTGTCGTCATCAAGCAGGAAGTCGTTGCATCGTGATCCTCAAGATTCAAAGTTGGATATGAGTACTGGCGGTATGTATAGCAAGTGTATGTATGGATACCTTTCTGGGGCGAAATCCATTGCTGGTTTCCCACCACTCATCTCATGTACGGTCTGTGATGATGAAACGTTCTTCCTCATTCTATTTGGGAAGGGGCGGCCAGTATACGATTCGCATCACAAGCCGATACCTTTCACAATCTGAGTATCATAAGCTGAATACCACAATTACCCACACTCGAAATACAATAGCCCCGCTGGGAATAACAACGATGGTCTCCTTTTAGAAATCTCCGTTCGGGCTTACGATGATGATTGTTGCTTTCTGGGGTGACTATATAGGTACGTGGTTGTACTGATGACTAGACCCGCTATCACCAACCACTTGCTACACGCACTTACCGCGACAGCTATCAACACCACCGAAGAAGCCGCTCTCAGAACATCATGTCAATCGACCTTTCCACGTTCCCACCCAATAGTAGCCATGTCGGCAATCCGCAAGACGATCCTGATGCACTTGCCATGTGCTACGGCCCTAAGCACCTCGACCTCACGGCATCGAAAGAATCTGTCGCCGACTGGGCTGGGTCTGGCAAAATCCTCTTCCAAGGAGATGTTGTTAATGTCGTCACGTTCAAAGACGGGACATCCACTGTTCTTTGTACGGACTGCGGTATTGCATCAGTCGGATTTGGTCTGCAAGTTGAAGAGCTTGAACCGGAGGACCGAGTCAGCGGGATGGTCACGCGCGAGGATATGGAGACAGCAAGTATCTATAAAGACTACAAGAAGACATTTGGGGAGACGGTTTCCGTGCAGATGGGTACTATAACCCCCGAAGGAGATTTTTCGTCGTTTTTCCGTGGTAACCCCGAGTTTGTGGTTGACAAAAAGACTATGACTGATTCGGTGACCGTGTTGAATGATTATGAAGAGTTCCTCGATAGTCAAGAATACGACATGTCCACTGTAGAAAAAGCGAGAGAGTGGGCCGAAGAGTGGGATGATGACTCTCCTTCCGAAAAAGGAGATCGAGACAAAGCACCAACGAGTTGAGAATGACAAGTGATGCTGTCCTTCATAGGAAGGGGGTTTGGGATGAATAGGGGCGACATACTTTGCACGTGGTCTGCATACCCACCAAGTTATGCATGAGGTGCTCCAAGAGGTGAACAAGTAGACGTAGCTGATGTTTCTTTCAAAGGCGAGGGACAAGCATGCAGTGAGCTCTTACTTTCTTCTATCCGAGTACGCTCGATCATAGAGTAAGCCAATTTTCGATTCGCTACAAACCATATCTCCATTCGACCATCCAAGGCAGGATACGCTGCGTATGTTCAAGCCAAAAACCACTTTGTGTCTGCTATACGGTCTCTAATGATAGGAGTTCGCACCCTATTGTGGAAGGGGTTTATTCAGCGTCAATGTCGTGTCATCATCTAGAGGAATAACAATCATGTCTCTCTCAAAGCGATATACGAAAGTCGTTTGTTCGGCAACGTTAGGCATACGAGGAATCTGAGTCTCAACGATGACAAAGGTTTCGAAAAAATGTTAAAATCGCTGGGCTTCGTTTTTCGGATTTTGAAAAGTAGCATCTAACCCTCTTAAATGAGTTGCACGATCGATTTCGGCCATCTACAAAAAGACAATCCTGGTCGGGTCGACGAATGCAATCGACCGCACGACCGTAAAATGCCCGGAGCCATTGGACAACGACCACCTACTGCCGACGACCGTGATAACGTCGTCTCGGCTTTCTCAGACGATTCGTCTGTCCTCAGTGATGCCTCCCACCACGACAGACCTACGAGCAGTAGGCACAGTCTGAGGGCTGAAGCCGAGGACAAATCCGATAGTAGGGATACCCCATCTGTTGCCGGCGAACGCACCCATTTCATGGGAAGAGGTGATGATGCAGCACCAGAGGTACAATTGCCCCGCCTTGCAGCGGCAGCCAATATGAACATAGATTCTCCTCTGATCTCCATTGTACCCGATCCAGTGGTCACGGCGGGTCCTTCGAGTCTTGGCAATGCTCAGTACCCTTTCGACCCTTCTTCTTATGATGATGGTATTGGTTCGTCAGAAGATGAACAACCACCAGTGATTGCTCTTCGTAGCCCAGGCTCTCTTCAGCTGGACACGACCACCGGCAGATTGTATGAGCCTTATACGTTCAGGTTCTCATCAGAGCAGACTGGCAATGGACATTCGGACTTACATCTCAGAGCTCCCCCACAAAGATCATACCAGAGTCATCACGATTGGATCGCAGAGATAGAGCGTTTGGGCGGAGTGTCCCGGGAATATCTCGGACCGAGAATGAGTTTGGATGATGCTATCGCAACCTACATTACGCCTGGTCATGATGATCGACAGGCAACCCTACGGCAGATGATTACCAGCAGTCTGGAGCAGAGTTGGCAATCTGGTAGACGATCATTCAACTTTGCACGTGATGGCGACGCGTAAGACCTAATGGCATGATGTTCGGGAGGAGGTCATTGAGTGAATTGCAACAATGCATCAACATGCACTTTTGAATGACTGTCTCATATGTACTTCCATACTACTTGTTATGGCTAGGGTAAAGTCAAGGCTAATCGTACTACACCCAACAAGAGACGGCAGCAGATCGCTCCTCGTCATTTTGTTTTAGTTTCGTCTTCCCCCCTCTGGCTGCTTAGGACGAATAGTTCACTCAGGCTGCTCGCACCATTTTATGACACATCCATTCCTTGGAAGTCCCCAGTGGACGTGGATGAAAGGATTCAATCTTAGCACTGCCTCTTCGTCGTAGACTCTTGTAATTCCGGCTCGTATGGATCATGACATGTATTATGATTAGCACGGCGACAAAAGAGGAGGGATATCGGATCTGGCGACTCATACGTAGTCTCATCAGTGTATACTTGCCCACGAGCGGGACCTAAATCTTCTACGCCAAAAAAAGACGGTACTTTGGAAGAGCGATAAGACATCCCTTCTGTAACTAGCTTACTCATTGCATGGCTGGTCAAGATCACTTTGAGCGGAGCTGACTCGGACATTCGGTATCCAATTCTCCGCTTGTCAAAACTTTTACTCAAAGCAATACTACAGCCCTCACCACCCATTAGACTGTCAAATGGACAGCAAAAACTATACCATGTCCAATCAACATCCCGCCACATCTAGTCCAGTGCCCGACGCACGAACGCACCTTCCAGAAGAAGTCGTGTGCGATTCCATTCTAACTGCTGTCGAAATCCCCAGCACTACTGCGACTACAGGAGGCCCAAGCCAGCAGCAGGATCAGAATCCTTTCCTGTCACCGGTAGAAAGCGATGACAACTATGAACCATCACTGGACGAGACGGAGGGGGATGGCCATTGACATCGCAATGGGGACGAACATCTGGAACCTAATAGAGAGGAACATCTTCATCGCAACCCGTCAGTTGAACGCGTATCCGAGAGGGATTTCCCCCGCGGTATCAACTTCTCTTTCAGTGAATCCCTAACCGGCACCTGGGACACAACTCTAGACTCTCATACCAGCAGAGTCGAGACATAATCTAACATTGCAGCAATGGACGGACATGGTGGGCCAGCAAGAAGGACCTTGGCTTGACGGGAGTCCGACTACAATGGATACCGCTATTCATGTGCGCTTGTATCCAGCTGATGAGGAGAGGCGTAGTGTAATCTCGGGGCTTATGCAACGTGATCTGGAGCAGGCCTATGAGATGGGGACAGATGTTTTTGATTATACTACTGGTTCGGGTTCGAATGGTGCTTAGAATGTATGATATTACCCATTGATGCTCTGTTGTTCTGTCGTAGCCCGCGCCGGAAATTTGCAGCCATCATCTCGCAACAAGAGGAGAAAGTCACACGAATCGTGCGTGACTGGGGGCTAAAAAGTGTTCGCCGAAGTTATCGGGAGAAGGATGGTTGTGGCGAGCGCTGTGTGGTCCGTTGGTGTGCCTGTCCTTGTGTGGCTTGTTCTGTTTTAGTAGTGCGCTTTCTGCTTGTGGTCACTTTCTTCATCTCATCTTCTTCGTATTCTTCTTCACAGCTTTTGCTCGTCACCTCGCCCTTTTTCCACAGCTTTTTCTTTATCATGTCCCCCAGACCCCCCGCCTCCTTCCTCCGCCTCTACCCGAGCACCAAGACCAAGGAGGAGCTTCGTGCTGTACTTGCCGACGCCGGCTGCGGGTCTCCCAACCAAACCGATAAGGATGGCTTGATCTCTCTCATTCTCGACAACGCAGACGTCCCACTCCCGGCCTCCTGGGATGTGGATTTTGCAGGGATCGCCTCTGACATGGGTCGTAGTACCGAGGCTCCCGTTACCACACCTTCTCCTTCTCCTCCCCGCCTCCACCTCCACCTACTTCCGAACAGTCCATGGCGCAATTGAACCAGACGATAATGGCATTGTTCATGAAGGTGGACCAACAACGGGAATACATCGACCAACGTTTCAGGGAGCCTATTCCCGCCATGCCAACTTCGTCTGTGCCCGTGCCGTCTTCGTCTGTGCCCGAGCCGTCTGTTGTTGTTCCTTCTCTTCCTTCTGCTGTATGTACCTTCTTCTGTTTCTCGTTGCTTGTCTACCTTCGTTGTCAATTCCATCATCATCTGTCGCAGTTGCGCCATTGAGTGTTCAAGACTAGAGGGAGGGGGAAGCGGGGGAGGGGAAGGAGGGGTGAGGGGAACGTCGGTCCTCCTAAGCCCCATTACAGAGTGCATCACTGCAAAGAAAACAAAGAGTGCTACCGATGTCTGACAATCGCTCCACCAGATCTAACAGCCCATCGCCTGACGCGGGAACGGAAGACCGTCAAGAAGAAGTAATATACGATTCTATTCTCGCTGATGATGTTCCCGGCAGCACTGCAACGGCCGGAGGTCCAAGTCAAGAGCAGCTGGAAATCCCTTCCATCAAGTGCCCGAGGGAAGTGATGCGGAGGATGCAGAAGCAAGAAATAGAGCGAGTGTCAGGCGAGAGGAGCCCGAGTTTCGGGACGGTATCCAAATCACTTGCAGCGCAGAACAGACTGGTTCCTGGCAAGGAAGCTTCACTCTCAGACCACCAGCATCAAGAAGTAATTTCACGCGTCAGGAATGGATCGAGAAGGTGGAGGCGGAGGGAGGAACATCGTGGCTCGATGGAAGCCCGACCAGTATGGAGTTCGATGTGGATATGAGGCTGTTCCCCGTGGGCCAGGAAAGGCGGAGCAATATGATTGCGCTCGTCCGTAGCGGGACATACACTTGGCTACATCTTTGATTACACTAGACAGGGCGTTCTTCATAGCTACACTGCTCGTTCAGATGGACACAGCTGAACTGAAAAGTGGAAGAACAGAGCCCATTCGTCTGTCCCCTAAGCACCAACTATCAACCTGTTCTCAACTCTCCAACGACGCGTCAGTCACGTGCCTAGATGTAACAACAAACGCGAACTCGCTGAGCGCGTCGAGTGCCATCTCCTCTTTCATTCTCCATCACCACCGCATCACCCCCTATATCCAACATGGCGCCGCAGGGACTGGTAATCTCCAAGCTCGGGGTACAAGCATCTGCTTCGGGTACTGACGTGACGGGGCTCATTGCTCTCAAGGTCTGTCGCTCGTAGACGGTAACGAAGGGCGCTGATCAGATGTAGATTTCGTTGCCGAAAGATATGGGGACCAAGTCTGGGGCGAGATGGATGATTTTTAACTGTATGCTATATTCCACCTACATGTGGAGGTCGCTGATAAATGGGCAGCCACAGCCACGCCCCCTGCCATCACTTCTCGACCATCGATCCACCCTCTACCCCTACCCCCCCCTCTATCCTCCTCCTCTCGAGAACTATCTACAGCTTGCAACCTCCTATCCATTCAGCCAGCCCCCCTATACCCACCCTCACCTCAAGGAGGTACCGAACCTTATATCGACGTGTCGAGCACGACCGGCAAGGTGTATGTCGTGGTCGACCCAGCGAGCGGAGCGGCCAAGCAGCGGAGAGGGAGCTTCAAGGGAAAGGGGGCGGAAGATGGCAGGCGTGATTGGCTGGTCATACTACCCTTCTCGCAGCCGCTTGAGAAGGAGAAAGACGGGCTGTCGAAAGTGTTGTTGCCGCTCCCGAAATGTCTGGACAATGTCATCCGCTTCCGGATACTTTCCCCTGATGGAGAACGGAAGGACGTGAGTGAAGTCAGTATCCTGACAGATCCAAAGCTGCTGGCGCTTCCGGAAGGGACTTTTGGGGAGGAAGGAGATGAGAGTTTTGATACAGTGGACGAAGATGAGGGATCGAGCTGGCTGGAAGGGAGATTCCAGAGGTGCGTCTCTTGGGTTTCTTGTTGTCACATAGCTGACCTATTTCCAGTACGGACGCTCTTCGCCTCGAATGGTCATTCACGCCTTCTCTTATAGACCCTACGACACCCTCTCTCTTCATCGCCCCAACACTCCATCCCTACCCGCAGATAGCACTCCAGTTCTCCGCCTGCGCCTCCACACCCGAATCTATAACTTCACTAGAGGCTCAAATCCCCACAGGATGGGTCTGGGAGACTCTGGAGATCGAAGGGGATGGACTGGCATATTGGAGAGGCGTCGATAACGACTGGGGCACCGTAGACGACGAGGAAGACACCCTCGACTACTCCCAAGATGACTCCTTTGCCACAGTCCGACCCACCACCAAACCCCGCCCGACTTTACCACCCTCCCTCCGGCCTGCGGGGAATACGTACTTGCCCCCGCCAGCGTCGGGCTCGTCGGTGAGCTTGATGAGGCAGACGTTGCCGACGGCGGAGGAGCTGGGGGAGTTTAGTTTTGAGATGAGCGGGGAGCAGAGTCCGGTGCCGAAGCGGCCTAATACGCCTCTCGGTGCCGTGGGCTCGCCGGCGCCGAGCACGCCGGGTGGGAAGAGTCGGCTTATGGCTTCTGCCGGAAGAGAAGGAGATGGAGAACGGATAGCGAGGGGAGGAAGGTTGTTTGATTTGTACTGGCAAGCGGGCAGCGAAGAGCGGGGGTTTGTTTTGACGGGGATACTCGTACCAGAACCTCTCACGCTTGTACCAGCTACTCTCCCCCAGCCTGTTCCATTGTTCACCTTCCTCTCCCCATCCCCTCCATCGACATACAACATCCAATGCCCTCACGCTTCTTATCCTTCTTCCCAAAAACCCGAGTCGACGTCGGATTCTCAGCTCGTTTCTTTAAGCCACCAGACAGCTGGGACCTTTACGTGGCATGACGGGGCTCAGCTCTCAGCACTCCGAGCTCGAGAAGCCAAGACGAAAGTCGGCGACGTCAAGATCCGCCTTCAACGAGACGTTTGGGGTATGTTGAGAATGAACGTCCTCTTCTCCCTCTCTTCCCGGCAAGAACAGAGGGGGTTCCGCCTTTCTGCTACTGATGCCGATAAAGCGAGGATTGTTAGGGCGTCAGTAGACGGGCTCGCCGTGCCTAGGTGTATACTGCCTTCTTCGGAAGGGGTGGAGGTCAGGATTGGGAGGAAGGAAGGTGGCGGACGGGGTGAGGGTGGGGGTTTGGCGGAGATTGTACTTGAGATTGGAGGGGGTGGGACAGAGGTGGGGTTGCCCGTGTTCGAGGGGGAAGGGGAGGGGAGAGTTGAGCTGATCGGGGAAGGGTGGCAAGGTCATCTTAACGATACATTTGATGTCCGGCAACGCTGACGATATGACAGGCGTTCAATTCACAAAGTCGAAATCCCTCAACGCACTCTCAGCAGCGACCTTCGCATACCCCATCTCCACCCCCAATCCACCAACCATCACCCTTTCCCCTCCTCCATCAACATTAACACTATCCTCCTCCCCTCTCCGCACCCTCTTCTCCCTATCCACACTCTACCACCTCTTCATCCTTTGGCTTCTCCTCTCCATGGGTTCCCAGGTCCAAAGACTACGGAATGAAGTTGCCTTCGTCGCGGGGGAAGCTAGAGATCTGAGAGGTGGCTATGGGTGGTATACAGGTACTGGGGGGGAAAGGAAAGAGGGGGAGAGGGTGGAGTTGGAGGGGTGGAGGGAGGGCGATGTTGGGGATGCGGGTGCGAGGATAGCATCCGACCCTTCCCCTTCTTCACCTTCACCTTCTTCACCTTCTGCTACCGAAAAGCTCCCCTCTCCTCCAACAGATATATTCGCTCCAGCGCCGGTATTCACATCAGTCAGGGTATGGGAGGAATGGCCAAAGAGGTGGGCCAGACATCCGACGGTGAGGACGTTGGGGAAGGGTGTGAAGTGGATTTGGGAGGCGGTTGTGTGGTTGGTATTGCCACCTGGGGCCTGATTGTGGGGATTGGACTTGTATACGCTTGTTTTAATTTCTTTTCCTTGGGGATGCTATACTAGTGCCATCTTGGGACTTTGGGAGTGAACGTGTGCAGTGAAAGAAATCCGATTGCATCAGGGTGCAATGCGATGAAAAAGGCTCAACATCAGCGAAGGTTGAGCTCGTCGCTGTTGACTGCGCTCCATCTGTCATTCTCTGACAGTAATTATAAGGCGTAGTAAGCTTTATTCACTTCAGTATGTCAAAGCAGCGGTCAATCAGCTTCGTCCACGACTCCCTGGTGAAGCTTCGACAACTGGCTGCTGCTGACGCGACTCGGCGCCGTTGTAGGCCCAATCATCATTGCAAGCGGACGCCAGCCGTCCCCACATAGATAGTATCTGTAAGCGATCTCACTGATCAAACGCCTTCGCATCCTCCGCTGTCCTGGTGGCATGCATATGCAACTGTCAGAACCAGATAGCGAGCATGTATCAACGAAAGCCCCCCCCCGACGCGGCCCCCTCCGCTTCGCCACTGTCAATTTCGCCGGCTAACGCCGCCCCCCTTCTCATTCGCCTGACTCTCGCAGCACCAGCCACAACCACCCACTCCCCGCCAATCCACCCACAATGCCCCTCAAGGAAGTCCACAGAGAATACCCCCTCATTGATGCCGACCCCCACTTCAAGAGGGTCGTCAGCTACATGCGACCTAGCGACTATGGAGTGTGGGCGGGCGCGACTGCTGCTGGACCGGGGTTGCTGTATCTGTATGGTAAGTATGAGGGATCGGAGCTTGGAGGGGGAGGGTGGGGCGGAGTATGTTGGAGAAGTTATGTGCTCAGGAGGAATGGCGGAGGGGAAACACGAGTGAAACGATCAAGGAGGAAATTAACGAAACGTCGTAGAACGCGTCGCTCCCACATTATCCAACCCCGCCAGCCTCAAGGGTGCTCTCCGAGTCAGCGGTGTCCTCGGATTCATGGCTGGTTTCATGCTCTCATACCAAAACTCTTCTTGTACGCCCCGCACCCCTCAATCTTCGGGAAACGTCAACTTACGACATTTGTAGTGAGATTCTGGGGATGGAGAGAGAACGCTGCCGAGGTCGCTAGGGATCAGGCCGAGCTTTCTCAGCTTGCCAAGGAGGGCAAGCCTCTTTATGGCGAGAGTCAACTGAATCCTTATCTGCAAGGTGTTGCGGCGAGGAACTCTATGTGGTCTCAATTGAAGTTGGCCGCTTTCCCTTGGTGAGTACGGATCTCCTCGACTGGCATCGGATTCTGTGGGGTGGGGTATTCGGGGATGGGAAGAGCCGTTGGTGCGAAGATTGGGTGACTCTTAAGTTGAGCCATGTCGGGTGCCCGAAGCTCTTACGTCGGACTACCTTTCTGCCCCACTCGTCCCCACCTGCCACTTCTATCAGACCGTCTCGACATTCCCATATGCTGACATTCTATACCAGGTTCAACGTCGCCAACCACAACTCCCACGGCGTCGACACCTCAAAATACACCTCCGAGTCCGCAAACCAACCGTCATAATCCCCTCCCTCCCTACCTCTTTACCACCACTTTTCATGACGACGCCACATCGTCTCCCACCCCTTCTTTCCTGCTGCCCGAGAAGCTTTGAACCGCATGGAGAATATTTGTATTGATTATAAGGAGAAAGGGATACCGGGACAGGAGGCTCGGGTTGGTGGCAAGAAGGGAAAGCAATTGTTTCTCTCTCGTTCATGGCAGATGCATAATCTAGAAATGCACGTGGCTACTTAATGACTGACTTTGGAAGTACTCCAGTACACTGTTCATTCAAACTGCAATGCGTGCATGCTGCGATAATTGTACAATGATATGCCTCTAATCGTTACTACACATAGCTTACACAACGTTCAAGATGCTAGCTCCTACTCGTACGCTTCAATCCAGCTCATCCAGCGTACTGGTCGTCGTCGTCGAAGCACTCGTCCCCGCCGCCGCCGCCAGCGGGACTTCTGGAGCTTGCGGTGCAGTAGCCTCCTGAGCGCTCCACGAGGGCTTCGTCTCGACAGCTACACAAATCATGTCAGCACTCTGATCAAAGTGAACGATGAGAAGGAGGAGAGGGAGGACACACCTTCAGCTCGACAAGCAGGACACGAGTTCCTCCCCTGGGTCAACCAGTGATCCACACAATCTTGATGGAACGCATGTCTGCACGCGAGGATACGACAATCTTCTTCCGGTTCGTAGTCCGACAAACATACCTATGTATCTATTATCAGCATTTTCTACCAGGGGAAAGAGAGGGAGGGAGCGCACCAGACATCTTTCGGCACAGCTCTCCAAAACTCGCCCTTCTTCGGCTTCTTTCTTCATGTCCCCGCCCTTTACGACACGTAATCCACTCTTCTCAATATCGCCCTTTGCAACAGTCGGCGCTTTCACCGGACCCAGAATCTCGCCCACAAGCCTCAACTCTTCATCACTCATCTCCCCCCCATGTACCAGGGACGGCATACGAAGAATAGGATGCGCAGGGGGATAATTGGCGCCGATAATGTAGATCAGGTAAGTGTTGATCGTCGCTGGGGTATTCGATGTTGAATGGGAGGTGTTGGGGGAGGCAGAAGAGGAGACGGGAATGATATGGGGTCGACGGAGGTGGGAGAAGATACGTTCGCGGAGGGATTGACGTGCCGGCGGGGCTGAGCTTGCTCTCGTCCGTCTTCCCTCATCTCTCCCCCCAACACTCCCATCTTCTTCCCCTTCTTCTTCAGCCGCGTGTACCGTTTCTTCCCCAACCGACCCTCCTTCTCCTTCACGTAAAATAGACCCAGCCTCGGCAGAGACGTCTCTTGCGGGTACTTCGCCGTTCACGAATGGAAAATTTGGGTGGGAGACGAGGTCTTCGGTGGACATGGATGCGTCGTGACGGATGTTGCGGACGCCGATGAATATCGTGGGGATAAGCGGTTCGGGTTGGGGTTGCGCAGGTTCTTGAGCATTCGCATTGCTCAAAGACTCTGCCTGACCTTCAGATGACGCATTCTGGGGGTTATTGGGAGAAGCAGCACTAGAAGGACTCTGCTCGCCCTGCCCGCTGGGCTGGGCACCAGCCCCACCCCTTAAAGGCCCCTCAACAGCCCTAGCAGTATACGCATCAATAGCAGGAAACATGTGTGCCCTGAAAAAGTTCATCCTCCGAGGAACACCATCGTAGCCGCCCGTCACCGCTTGGGGCGCCGTAGGCACCGTAGGTGCCGTGGGTCGGGTTGAGGAGGAAGAAGAAGAAGAAGTGGGAGGCTGGTTTTGGGCGAGTTGGGGGTGGAATGAGGGGATGGGGGGTTCGGAGGAGGGGGGCGGTGGTGGGGAGGTGGGGTTTGGAGGGGTAGAACTGGTGTCGTGGACGGGCTCTTGGTCAATGTCCATACTCGCCTCCGCCGTATCTTGTGGCCCCGTCCCCTCACTTGCTTCAACATTCGGTGCCGCCGGTAAAGGTCCCGCAAATTCTCTGACCGCCACAGCAAGATCCACCTGCAGATCCTCCAAGAACCGCTGAAAGCCGGAGGAGATGGCCTCTTCTGCTTCTTCCGCAGACTCGTGTGTACTTGCAGTGCTTTCTGATGTCGAAGTAGGCTCTGAGGCCTGCGTTGGAGGGTTGGGTGACGTCGCAGTCGTGGACGGTGAAGATGACGAAGAAATCGACCCAACACGATTATCCCGCAAGACATTCCTCAAATACGTCCCCAAACTAGCTTCCTGACTCTGGGCCCTCTCCCTCTCCCTCTCCTCTACCTCCTGCCTTTCCGCAGCTTCCTGTCGATTGGGTCGGATCCGGTTTAGTAATGATTCGAGGGTGGACGAAGGGGAAGGGCGGGGTGGGGCGAGGGCGGAGGCGAGGCTGGGGCGGTTACCGCCTGGGGCGAGGAGGGTTGTGGCTGTGGCTGCTGCTGCGACACTAAAGAATCATTAGCGAATGTAGTACCTTCTACTTGATAAGAGTACTTACGTGAGAAGACCACCGATCATGCGAGCTTGTGATTCGAGAGACGCGTCTTGTCGCTCTTCTCGAGAACCTGACGGTCGACGAGAATCGCCTTCGGATGCTCTTCTCTCCCTCGGTCTTGCCTGTTCCGGGGTATCTTCATCCATAGCAGTATCCCTCAAGAAATCATCTTCGACATCTTCATTTCCTGATCCGGGTGCGTCTTCCCCGACACCTTGGGTTTGAGCGAGACCTTGGATGACGAGTACCGCACCAGTCGGCACTCTGCGTCTCCTCGCTCCTCCCGTATCCAGCCTCTCCCTCGTCGCGTCCAGCTGACGCTCCGTATCCCTCAACTGACTTTGCGCATCATTAAGCCGTCGATGCAGATGACGCATCATCCCTTCCCTCGAACTGCCCACCGCCGGCGCCGGCGCTGGACCTTGATCCGGCGTCGGAGCCTGCGAAAGCGAGGACGGACGGGAAGATGAAGAGGAAGGGCGGGATGACGATGGGGATGGGATACGGTTGAATTGTTGGGAGAGGGTGGCGATGCGGTCGGCAAGCAGCTGGGCTTGGGCGGTAGCCCGTTGGAGGGAGGCTCGGGCTTCGGCGACGTGGGGATCTGTGCTGTCGTGTGTTCGGAGTACGGACTCGCCGCCGCTTGAAGATGACCCGGTAGGAGGGGGATGGGAGGGGCCGGAGGAGAAGGAAGAAGGTTGTTCGGTCCTGTTGGCCAATTGACGACGAGTGAGACGCTCGACCTCGGCTGCTGAGGGTGTATCGGGCAACGGCCAGTCCGGCCCAAGGGTAGAGCGGATGGTGTCTATCGTCGACATACGTTCTTCTGTAAGAGAGTCGTGGCTGCCCGTAGGGGACATGGGGGCACCACCGGCAGTGGAGAGGGGTGGTGCAAGGCCAGGTTGTGAATAAGGTTCGGCAGGCTGGGGGGTGCTGTACTCGTTCGCGTCGGCCATGGATACGTCCTCGCTTGACCCCGCCTCAGCTTCGCCCACCCTCGCCTTCTTCCTCTCCGTCTCATTGGTATGCCCTTCTGCAGTACTCCCTTGCCTTGAGCGCTTGCCACCGCCGCTGCTGGTTGTGCGCTCGACTTGCATGGGTTCGCCATGGGAAGTGCTGGTGGAAGCGACGGGGGAGGCGCCCCGTCTGCCGAGGGTCGAGAGGCGGCGGATAGAGGATAGGGGGTTGTTGGGGCGGCGTCGGGGAGGAGCGGGAAGGTGGGGGGGGGATGTTCGAGAGGGTTGGGATTGGGAGGAGCCCATAATGCTGATGATTGATCAGCGGCAATTGATTGGCTACACGCAGATGGACTTGCAGTGATCACAGATGCTTTCTGAAATGATACACAGACAGATGGACGAGGCTCTCTGAGGGATGAGACAGCTGATGAAGCACACCTGGTCGCAAGGTAAAGGCCAGTCTCGGGGGTGTGGGATGCGTATCTGGTGGGGAGGACAAGAAGGGGTGGGGCCGGGGGGAGACGTTGGTGGAGACGTGAAGGAAGATAAGATAGATATGTTGTAGAATAATACAGGGGATGGAAGATGAGAGAGAGATGATGTGCGCGGCGATATGGAAGGTGGAGGAATCACCGACTACGTATTCCATCTTGTTGTTTGGTTTCGCCTTCGCTCGAGAACCCACATCGCCGCGCAGGGTCATATCGGGGATACACGAGCCATGCCGAGCCTGCATTCAGAGTTCGAAACACTATGCTGCAGATTGGCTGAGTACACATGCCGAGCAGCGCCCAATGTCACCTCTGTCTCATTGGCCCAATCATATATACTGACTGTTTGCCCTAAGGTCAACTAGCTGACCTGATTCCTGCTCTCTGCCCTCCTGCTCAACAAGCGTTGGACGTCTTCACACTGTACGCGCGCGAGTTGAAAGGATGCTGGGCAGATTGTGTGCCCCCGCGGATGCTGTGTCCACATTCTGTTTCCTCGTCCCTATCACACCCAAGGGCAGTCCTGTGGGATGCATCGTTGACTCAACATTCGCCTTCAGGCTTCCAACCCCTTTATGGACTCTTTGATATATGAAGGATATCTCAAAAGTCAATCAACTTTACCAACCATTCTCCAAGAAGACTGTCGAGATGCGTGCGACTCATCATGACCCAACACCTCTCAACCTCACCCCTTCCCTCTCCCATACCCTTCCCCCTACCCCTCCCGCTCGAACATGCCCATCTGCTCCTCAGGTATCTGAATCGGTACAGGCGAGTATACCGGCGGGATATGAGAGGTGGTTCAAGACGTGGCGGGGACGAACGATCAAGAAGGTTGTTGGTGGAGGGGGATGGCGTTGTGATGAGCTCGAGCTGGAAGTAAGCTGACTCGCTTCGGGTCTTTCAATACGAAAAAGCTGATTCGAAATCTAGAGACAAGAGTCGGAGGTATGTCGTACATGTGCTTCACGGAGGATGTCTGCTTACGATGCCAAAGTATCACGTTTTGCGAATCGGTGAGTCAACAGACTACGAAGATCTATGCATCCTTACTCACATTTGCCATCCATCGTCAGCTCAAGGATGTAAGTCTTTGTATTCGTTCATCATTCAAACGCTCATGTCGCCATAGTACCATTCCCCGCCGCCGTGTTCAAAGCTCTGAATCTGCCGTCCAGCTATGGTCAGCCTCGTGTATTGGAAGTGGGTACCGTACGTCTTCTCTTTCTTCTCGACCGAGTCAAATGCTAAGGTATTGGCTGTAGGGAACTGGAATGTGAGTCACTCCGTCAGAGAGGTTTGAGAAGAGAAATGGTCTAATACAGGCGTAGATGGGCGATTAACATGGCCGATATGTTTCCTCAGTAAATCTCTTCTCCCCGTATCTATGATTAGATGATAACTGATATCTCATAGTGCGGAAGTCATTGGGTGAGCTTTGCTCTTTGTAAGACAGTACAACGCTAAGCACATGCGACAAGACTCGATACAGCTCCCATCCAAAGCCACTATGCTCCCAAGAACTGCGAGTACGTCATCCCTTCCCCCTTCCCCCTGCCCCCTCTCCCCTTTCCTTTTCTTCCCTTCCCATCTTCCAGCACACTCACTAACATCCCACCAAGCTTCGACATCACCTCATCCCCAACCCCCCCATACTCCCCCACATCATTCACCCTCATCCACCTCCCCTCCCCGGCATCCCAACCGGGCCATCCGTGGTTGAAGACGGTAGGGGATCTGAATGTGTTTTATGGGATGTTGAGGCCCCGGGGGTGGGTTGGGGTTGGGGATTGGGTGGGGAGGCCTTTTGTAAGGCGTGCCTCTCGTCCTTTTGAGGCGACCGAGATGAGGCGGGGTAAGGGTGGGATGGAGGTGGAGGAAGAGCGAGAGGAAGAGGAAGAGGAAGAGGTGCCGGTGGGCACGCAAGCGTGGTACGACGCGTACGAAAAGAGCTTGAGAGCGATGGGACATTCCTTCGACATGGATCGGCTGGAAACAAAGCTTTTGAGTACAGAGTACGATAGGCGGGAGGTTGTTGTTCCTATTGGGGCTCATGGAGGTACGTTTGACAACCCTCCTCCCTCTGAGACGTTGGATTGGGAGTTGGGCTGATGCTGGGATAGGGAAGCAAGCGAGTGTAGGCCGGCTGCAGCTTTTGAATATGCGTGCGTTTGTAGAGTCGGTGAGATTTGTGTTGGCGGAGTATGGGAGGTATAGTGATGCCGAGATTGAAGTTTTGAGTAAGTTCATGCTTCTCTTTTGACACCAGTCACGTCTGTTCAAGCGGCTGACGACATGTCATCGTAGGTGATGCGTATCTGAGGGATATGGAAGTGAACAGGATGTTTATGCGGTATAGGAGTTTGTGGATTATGAAGCCGTCTTTTCAGTGATACATATTGTCTTACGTTGCTAGCGCACGCATGTGCTCAACACATGCATCTTCATCCTATAGTACGCCACTATCTCTTTTGTTGGCAATCATTTTTGCGTTTTGGCGTGTCAAGTGCAGGCTGTAAGGTCAATTTCAAGCTGGGAGTCTCGACAATGCAACCATGCATGGCGTAAACAACACACGGCACTGACCCTATGGTACTAATAAGTTATACCATGAGCGCGTACACCGCCGGTCAACTCGAATGTCCTGCGGATATCACCGCGCGCGGATGTCCGTATGATGTGATCTAAGTTTTTGATTTTGATGTCGCGCGGACATTTTGGCGTCCAAATATCACACAGACATCTCGATGTGTGTCCTTCAAAATGTCGCGCGGATATTTTTATGCAGTTTCCAAAAACATCATATGGATATTTTCAAGGGTATGTCAGAATGTCTGGTGGACATTGTATACAGCTGCTGCCAACATCGCCTTGATATTTTCCTGGGATACCAGAAACATCATATCAGTATTCTCAAGGGTATGTTAGGATGTCTGGTGGACATTGTATGCAGCTGTTACAAATATAAAAATGACACTCAGACAAGCTACATCAGACATCTACAGAACGTTTACTTCATGCACTACTCTCCCTGCTTGCGCTTTCTACGTGCCCTCCCTGCCTCCCTGCCCGCTTGTCCCTCCTTGGCTGCTTCGAGGCCTCTTGGCAGCTGGACCCTCTGCAGCCTCCTCCTCAGAGCCTGACTCTTCCTCGACCGTTGTGCTACTACTGGCCCTTTGAGAAGCCCGCATCTCGTCTGCCTTCTGTCTGGCGAGGGTGCCGGCAAGGAAGCTTGTGGATTCACTACGCTTTGGTTAGTAGACATCATTTTGAGAGACATATGTGCGTACCAGGAGGAAGGGGGTCGACGAGCTGGTCAATAAAGTCACCTATCGAGCATAAGTACGTATCGAAGCAATTCAACATAGCATTGGAAGGAAAAGCTTGCTACTCACAGGCCCGACATCCCTCCCAGCTTCGTCTACGGGTTTCCTGAGCAGCGACATCTTGAACCAGGCCCCACTGTCATGAGTCAGCCACGTCTCGGTCACACAAATGGAACTTACCAGCATGGCAACGTTGGGCGCTGGAGGTTCCAAGACGTTCTACAGACACATCAGATGATCTCTGATGCCCTCTGGGGCTGCGTCGTAGAGGAGTGGCAGGGGTATCAGTCTGCTCATTATCGCTCAAGTCATCCAAGTTATAGTCAGCAGCAAAGGGGTCGGTAGCGGTGCATGGTGAGTGTGATCTTGGGTAGTTGAAGTGAGCAAAGGTGGGGATATTGTCAGAAAAGAGACAGGTCTTACAGCTTATATATGCGCTCGGAACAATAGAGAAAGAGCGGATGGGACAGGGAGCAAAATGGACAACAACGACAAAAATAACAACAGGTCGATGAGGAGGAGGTGAAGGCACACACACAAAAGGCCGAAAGACCGAAAGACAATCGCGGTTGTGGCAGGGAGTATCTCAATGCGACGCGACGCGTTTTCCATTGTTCTCTCAAGACCTGAGCCCTGGCAGCCTGCGTACAGCTCTCAGGAGCCTGTCCCATATACGGACGATGAACCGGTATTCGAAGAGACTCTCTTAACAAATATCAATCGAGGAGCATGAGGCCCATGTCGCAAACTTGCGGCAACAATGTGAAGATGAAGATATTGAGCGAGAAATTGGGGGGCTTCGATCCCGTGGAAGATAGCAGACATCGTGAGTGTCTTTCCTGTTTCTGGGACTCGAGCTGACCTTGTGTAGCTGCAAGATGGAACAAACACAGTCGATCGCAACTCCCATCGGCCAGTAGAAAGAGCGAATGGGCG